TGAAAAAAAAAAAAAACTCATTTTAACCAATGGTACACAAAAACAATCATATTAACCTATATTTTTTTTAATATTTATTGATAATATTATTATTCGTTTTGTAATTAAGAATTACGCCAATTTCAATAATTACAGTACACAAACCGAAAATCTATTAAAACTAGTTTAAAAAATTTTAGGTGATTTGCCAATAATATAGAATACATCACGTAGATATTGACATGATAAATAACATTTTAGGTATTTTTAAAACTAGTACGGTACTTGTGCAATGCAGGGGACTTTATTATTTTCGTCCACTAAAATCCAATTGTGAATCAAAATTCAAATAATATAACAAAGGAAAGATCATGCTATTACTAATTACTAAACGTGATGAAAATAAAATTCATACATTATTGAACACTTCCTTATAAAATGATACTAGATTGGACCCGGCTGTGCACGCACAGTCGGCCCTAGTCCAGTCTATAATTATATCTAGTATTTGTAAAATTTTTAAAACACACTTACCTATATTTTATGGAGCAACCAAAATGCCACATAATTGATAAGAACACGGAAAACCTGCAAGAGGTAAAGCACAGTGAGTGAAAAAACATCTCAAAAAATTAGGATAGAAATTAGTCCAACCTGAACTATAAAAAAAAACAACATCTCACATGTTAATAAATAATAAACCTTTCCCCTAAAAATTCACATGATACCACATGTTTTATTATCCATTTATGTTCAAATCTAGAAATGGAGCTAAATATTATTTGTGTAGTCGATCATGCAAATAATTCAAAATTAGTCTCATTATAACATAAATAAATCAATACAAATTAGTATAAAATATTAGATACCCTGGAACCATTTGGATTCTTATATACTGCTTTCTGGTACATTAGGACATTAACAGAAAGCCATGGACAAATATCACACACGCACTTTTTGAACTATTATGTGAAAGAGCAATATCATATAGATTATGCAAACTGGAAGAGCATGATTGAAGCATACAAGAAAAGATTGAAGTGTATGGTAATTTAACTTAAAAGGGGCTTTGATTTAGCCTTATTTGTTGGAATTAAGTCTCAAAATTTACACCAATTTTAATATCCTTCATATTATCTGTATTGTTATTTTTCCCCTAGATAGTTGACATTAATTTTCAACCACTTAAAAGAATAACGCGACCCGAGTGTTTTGTAATTCCCGATCGCAGGCGGAACTTCACCTTCGAGCTCCGGATCCATGTCTAGTTTCTCAAATTCCGTCAGATTGTCCAGGCACTCCTGATACCCTTATCACCCTCTTCTATTATTATCCTCAATATGTTTACAATAACAAAAATATTAGTTTTGAAATTGATTCAGTCATATAATACAATAATATTGCAAGTTTTAGTTATCCTTTTGCAGCTTTGGATCATCTCTTCTTTCGCATAATAGATTTCCCATGAAAACTACACTATTAAGTTTTAGTTATCCTTTTGCAGCTTTGTGAACATCATTGCATAATGCGGTTCAAAAATGCATGGGAATAAGAATATCTTCTTATGGTTGGTCCAGATAGGTAATGTGATGTATTTTAAATATACTTACATCTATATGAGGCATGTTTGTTTCGGCTGTACCCAACAAAACATTGTCATCTGTTCATTATTATCATTTTGTTGCAATTTGAAGTGCATAGAGACAATAACTTAACTATTTTAAAGACTAATTTAAATTCTTTCAAAAATTACTTAAAGAAATTCCCCAATGATATAACAAAACAAAACATTTTTTTACCTTTATTTGAAAAGAGGAGAAGTTATATCAAAACCAAGCACAACCGTTATAGTCACATCTCCAAGCATAGGAAATTTCCCTAAAGTGCCAGTCACCCAAACGCTAGCAAAAATAACAATAATAAAGCCACACAAACAGATTTGTCTGCACCTTTGTATCTGAAGTGAATGAAGAAGTGATTCGTGACAAGGCATCCAACATAACCGGGGACCCAACTACTTGTGTTGAACCAGATCCAACCTCCTCATGATCATATAAAGCCACCATTTTAATCCCGCTCTCGTCCTCAATTCTCCTCTCGGTGGATGTTAAATCTATAAGTGCCTGAAGTAAAGAATAACAATTACAAATACGAATACATGTACAACTATTTTGGTCCGGAGGTGGAAATACATGGGTGGAAATACATGGAAATTTTAGACATTATATTCCTTGAAGGGGATTTCAGCCAAAGAGCAAATCAAACTTCTTATCATGTTCATACTAATTTGATTCATGCACTCAAGATTTTGTTGCGACTACCGTTTATTCCATGAAAACAGAAATAAAAAGAAAATGTCATATATTGTAATATGATGCATCTTTGACCATGTTGCACATATTATGTGACATGAACGGCTAAGCCTTAGTATTTCCTAATAGAAAAAGATTAAGGAAAATTTAAGCACGTATTGTGTGACTACCCAAACACAAACATATACCTTCAAAGAGCAAAATGACATGCAGAGGTTATCCAATCTTCCAGATAAAACAAACTCATTCAAGGCCCCACCGATTACACGTTTCTGGGTATCACATGCTTGCAACTAAAAATCACAAATTACATCTGGTTCACATCCACTTTGAGTGGCAATCAACTGAAATTATAAGGGATGAATTGAAAAAAAAAAAAAGGATATGGAGAGCACAAAAAGTAGTTTTTTTTTTTTGTAAACTCAAAAGGCAAACATAAATTAAAAGAACTTATATATATTATGAAGGAGGGGAAGAAGACATTCAAAAGGAAGATGGAGAAAAGTAAAGAAAAATAGGCTCAGAGCCTAGCCAGAAGAAACAGTCTTCATGTGAATAAAAGTATAAGCAATGGAACATTTCAATCTTTTGTGTTCTAATGTATATTCCTAAATATTGGTTGATAATATGTCCCTGTAATAAATAATTTCCCCAATACATTTTACAAGCATCATAAAAAATAATAAGCATCATAAAAAAGAATAAGCATCGTAAAAAAGAATTTTATAGAGGGGCCACTTATGACACTCTGTAGAAAAGGCTGAACACACACAAACATACATACTCTCCTGTCTGGATTTCCTTGTGAGCGCCCTATGAAATCAGAAGAACACACAACCAGCAAGAAGTCCACAAATTTTAATCATGCGACAAGAAAACGTAGCCAAGTGTAACAATACCTGGTATGAATCCTGGCCGTGCCCGAGCTGATTCCTGTTATGATCATCCTCGTCATAAAAAAGATTGAAATAATTTGAGGAGACTGTAGAGAATCGGATGGTTATCATCTTTACTGTTTGGCCACAATAGCTGATGTTGCAGGGCAACTTCTTGTTCTCTTATAACTTTCTTCATCATTCGAGTAGACATTGTGCACTGCCGCTTAATTTATACAATCTGCCACAAATACAATAAAACAATACTAAATGTGAGTCTATACCATGATTGCTCATTATAATCATCGAAATAATTTGTCATTTTCAATCAGTAAGATACGATTTTATCTATGGATGCATAAATGATACATTTTATCAAACAACAGTCTTTAAATTTGTTTCATATTTTTCCAAATATCAAATAACTTGTCACGCCCAAGGGATTATCATAGCTGATCCTCAAATCACACCAGACTTCGGTTCAAATCACACCAGACTTCGGCGCTAACACACCTGACATGAACAAAAAATAAGGATTTGGTAGAAAAAATGAAGGAAAATAAAGATATGACATTAAAACTTTGTTTAACATTTCAGAATTAAGTGAAACTTAAAATGGGTGAATGTGTAGTGCAAAAACAAAAAAACAAAAAAACAAATATGGTCTTCCCAGTCATTGAGATGAGCAGGAAGACGTACATAAGTGAGAAAAAACCGTGATTTATGACATAAGTAAATTATCAATTTGATCCTCAAAAATTGGCTAAAAGGAAGAAAATATGGGCCATTTAAGTAATCTTCGTTCTGTTGTTAACCAACGTTAACACAAAACTGCGCACCATATACAAACATGACGAAGATTTTATAAATTTAAATATACCCCAACACACCAAAACCCTGCTTAATATAATATTCCAAATTAACAAAAGAAATACATCATTTCCATCGGTATACTTAACAACACAACTAATTAACTGCAAACCCAATGAAATCAAAAGTTGGGCTACCACTTAAATGCAACAGAACAAAAAATAATCTTATTGCATAAAACAACATCACAAACACAATGAACAAGCTCCAAGCTGTAAAAAATTAATCACTAAAACCCTCACCGATTGATCGAGGCAGAGGGAGAGGGAGTTGATCATAGCCACTGGTACCGATGTGGAGATGAAGATGATGGGATATAAAACGACACTGTAATGGGGGGCTCTAGGCTGCAGTAATCGCAGATGATGAACTCCAAAATTAGTCACGAACTCTGGAAATATCAGTATTAAGTAACTCAGAAAATAATTAGCACCAACAAGGAGATTGCTAAAACACACACCTTTTCCATTTGGTCCTCGTGTTATGAGCATGTAGATCATCGCCTGCAATTGTTCTTCAGGTTGTGAGCATGTAGATCATTACCTGCAAAAGGGAAAATCACATCTACAGTGAACATGAAGAATCTTCAATGACATGATCTACAAAGTTCGACAGTCTTTTGACATATTCAACTCCACAAAAACATCACTTAATAATTCATAACAAACGTTGAATACTTAATGAAATAACAGTAACAACAATAATAAGAAAAAGGTATAACTGTTGCTTCATCTCTCATTCTTATATGATGCTTTTCATGGGTTTGTACTGAATTATTTCAATAAATACTATGGTTCACAACCTGCAAAATGAAACCAAAAAGAAAAAAAAAAAGAAAAAGAAAAAAATAGAAAAAATGGTCTGATCACCACATAAACCAACTTGAAGAGTGATAGAGATTCTGGAGTTCACGCCAGTCTTTGTTTTTTCAACTTCTTTGTGTTCATCAACTTTGAGTAGTAAAAAATGAATCTAAATTCATGAATTAAGAACGTGAATGAAAAATAGAACACAAAATCAAACTATTCATGCTAAAAGAAATTATTTTTAAAGATTGATAAGCGGAACTGTAAGAGCTTATTAGGCAATAGCATACCCATATACCGTCCGTCACAGTGGTAACGGTACATCTCAACTTGTCTCCAGGGTGTTGGCCGTCCCTAAGAAAGTGTCGCAGGCACGCCACGACACTTTCAATTTCGTCAACCATCATCACCTTCTGCGTCATCAAATCCAACAAGCATACTGAACTCGTTATTCCTTATGCAATTTCATCTCTAATTCGGAAATGGAAAAAATCTGAACACACCTGTTGCTGGGGAAAAGAAACGGACGGCGAACATCAATTTCCATGAATGACCTAATGGAAGAGGAAAGCAACAATTAAGTCAAAATTTCCAAATATTTGTGACCTCGTTATGCAATGAAAGATACTTTCAAGGGAAGCTACAACTAAACTTTTGCAGAACTCCCGATAGTAAAAGAAAGAGACAGTAAAATCCAAATCGCTGGTTTATAACCTCATCCTCTCAGCTCTCTGCCTTCGTCGGTAAACCTCGACCCAACACTTTCCAATTCTCCGGGAACACTCTTCTCAGAATTCACCGCTAGCCCCCAGACAACCTCGGACGCATGCTCAGACGGTTTATGCGAGGCCGGTTTCCATAAAAGGCCCCATGTAAGGCTACAGAACAAAATTTCTATAGCGTTTCGAGCTGACGACTTCAATTGAGGAATAGGAACACGCAAAAATGATACAAAGTATTATAACTACTTTATAATATTGTAATTTTCTAAAAAATCTAAATAAAGATTAACATGGACTCATACACACACCGCACATAAAAATAGTATGACAAAATCCTTCCGTCGAGATATATGAATTTGCAAATGTAACTACCTAATACAATTGCAACCAATATGTTAAAGTCGAATCTATTTATCTAATCCACAACAATTAAAAAGCAGGTGAACCTGAGATATCCATGAGCAACAAAATATAAACTAATTTAAATAAAAGTGAAAGCATGGGATTATATATAAAAACATGATTAGAAACTCAAACGCACACAAACACAAAAAATTAATAGCTTTCTGCCCACAATTTTACAGGATCTCCGACCCATACATAAACGATTGCAGGTCGAGATTTTTCTATCAAAATTCCTAAATTTAGTCTTAGCAAATAAAGCCCATATACCAGAGGATTAGTAGCAGGTAAAAGATGACAACTTTAGACTCAAAACACCGATTCATGAATTCAAATTACAGTAAATTATTTGGCGTCAAATTACCGTAAATCGGTAGCATGCATCATTCCCATCACATTGAATCCCTTGACAAAAAATATGAGAAGTTAAATAAAATTCAGAAATAAATTAGGGCAGGCACATTAAAAGTTTTACCTTCGAAGAGGAACAGCAAATCTGAAGTAATCCTTTTCCCATCCATCCATAAGGATTACGAACAAGTGGAGTAATGACCTAGATCGAATAATTCGACCGATCCATTCGAAACAACAAATAGTTAAAAAGATAAAATTAAAACAAATAGCTTCAAATTCTAGGAAAAGACGAAATTAATCACAAAAATATCAATCAAAAATCACGAAAAGAAATACGAAAATTAATAATAGTTAAATACGAAATTGAATGAATAATTAAATATAAATCAGAAATAAATTAAGGCAAACATATTAAACGTTTTACCTTCGAATAAGAGAGTAGACCCTGAACCAATCGTCTTCCCATCCAAAGTGATACAGTAATGTGATTTGTTTGAATTACAACTTTCCTTTTACCTTTCTTTGTTTTTTTACAAAGTATTCTTGCTGAAAAGTGATTAATTGCAATCTTCTGTGGCTGATATGATATCCCAGAGCTCCGAGGAGGTGTCGGATGCCTGGGGCTCGATTCTCGACGGGAGAAGGCAAAGAGGCCCATGATAAAGTCGTTGCCGGAGCTGGCTGAGTCGGTGAACTGATAGTCAGTCATCGTCTGCATCGTCAATTTAGTTCATTTTGAGAATTAAGAATGAGAGTAATTTGGTTGGGTAGTGTTTGTAAAGAGGGATATTACCTGCTCCCGTCTCCATCCAACTTGCATGTGCGAGAATTGTGCGAGTGCGCAGAGAAAGAGAGAAGGGGGAATGATGGTGAAAAGGGGACGTGCGAAAGCCATGTTTTCAGGCTGCTTTTTGACTCTTGAGAAAAGTGAATAGAAATTGAAGAAGAAATTGGTAAAAAAGGCCTAATGAGGGAAATGTAACTGATGGGTAGCAGTGTAAAAAGAAGCCAAAATGGAGGGCATTTTTGTCCAAAAAAAGGACACATGTCGGCTCCAGAATCAGCCTCTTATGTCTTCTTATATGTATAGTAGAGATGTACCTTTTACAAAAATCTCGAATCTCGAGAACATCAACATCGATGTGTAGGGACACATCCTTTGATGTGGTTATTCGAACTTCACCTAATTAATAAATATATTGGAATAGCCGATCAAAACAAAAAAAAAAATGCCGAGTTATTTATTGAGTTTAATTATATTAAAATTAATGAAATACCTTCCTACTCATTTGCTTGGTACATTTGCATGACGAGGACAAAAGGGTTCTCCTTGATTTTTGGTAATGATGCTTCAACGGTGGCCGCAGGACACGACACTGGCCGCAACCCGCCTCAATCACACCCGCCATGGCGCATTGGGAACAGTGCGGAACCACTTCTGGGATGAATCGACGCGAAGCCACCGCAGCCGCACCAGCAAGCCAAGGACGAGCCAGATGTTCGCCAGAATCGCGAGGCCAAAGGCCTCCGGAGGGGAGAAACACGCAGGTGGTGGCGGAAGAACTTGGGCGATTTGGGGGTTTTGGCTTTTTAGAGAGAGAGAGAGAGAGAGAGAGAGAGAGAGAGAGAGAGAGAGAGAGAGAGAGAGAGAGAGAGAGAGAGACGAAAAGTTAATCAATGATGACATTAAATTGATAAGTTGATTTTATTTTTCTAACTAATTGAATAATGATTGACACGAAGTTCAAAGCTAACACATTTTATTACAAAAGAAAAAAGAATAGAAAATCTTAGTTGATTTGAATTCCCATAACCTAAAACTTTTTTATGGGATGTCAATTGATTTGAATTTTCAAAACCTAAAAATCTGTCAAATTTTAGAGATTCACAGGGATTTTATTAGGAAATAGAAAGAGGACCATTTTATGGAAGATAATTATTAGCAAATATTTGTTAATGTGTATCTAGAGGGGCTTAAAAGAGTTGTATTGGGAATCTATCAGTATTACTTGGAAAAAAATCATAGTATAAATTCACCGAATATACTTCCCAAAATTAAATCATTAAAAAAATAAAAAGATGACCAAATTTGGAATGATTTGCACTTCGGATTTTAATTTTATTTGAATTTATTTTCTTAATAATTGGATTAGGATGGATATCAAACAGAAAATTATCTGATTTCGTTTAAAAAAAAAGTGATATGAAATGTGTTGTATATTGTGTTTGAAATATAAAAACTTGAATTTAAAAAAAAAAAATCTATTAATTAAAAGAAGGATACAAAATCGGCGTGAGGATATCCCGAAAAAAATATGAAATTGCATGTTATTTCATAATAGATATGATAAATTAATAAAAAAAAAGATGGGATAAATTGGTTTTTACATATAAAATTATTTTTTTTCAAAAATAAAAAAAGATACCAAATCCAATTGAATATGAACAAATTATGTATCAGATATCAATTGAATAATTTGATTTACCAAAATTATTTGATTTGTTTACCAAAAATGTACTGATATGTTTTTTAATATGTGTATCACATTCAAATCTTACATTTTTCAAAGTCAAATGCTTTCAATTTTATGGGATATTTTAATGATTTGAGTTTTGAAAACCTAAAAATCTTTAATTTAAAAGTGATTCACATGGATAAAATTAGGAAATAATAAGAGGATCAATTTAATTACCAAGTAGAATTACTTGACAATATACAATCCAAATATCCAATTTTTGAACCATTTTATCACGTGTGTGTATTAATTTGTTACTTATAAAAGTAAGTCAACCAATTATTTTTTAAGTTAAAATTACTATTTATGTATTTTTCAATAACCGTTTTATGAAATTTGTTACCAAAAAACAAAGCCCAAAGAATCCGATCATATTGTCAAGGTTGTTAAAAAAAATATGCTAAAAATTCGAACCCCTTACCATATTTTTTGCTAAAAGATTTACCAAAATTGCTAGAGGTTTTGTGTAAATAATTATGAAATTGTTTTAAAAAATCATAATGTGAAAGTTGTTACAACAAAAATATGCTTAATAATTCGAGCCCCTTACCAATTTTCGGCTAAAATATTTACCAAAATTCTTAACAATCATTATGACATGTGGGTTGTAGAATATTACTTATATTATTGAGCCAACACTTCATTTTTTAAGTCAAAGTTACTATTTAGCTATTTCTCCAACAACCTCTTTATAATACTATTAGTACAGTACTCATGTGATGCACGGAGCTTGATTGTTTTCGTCCATTTTAAAATGCAATTTTGAATCAAAATTCAAAATATATAATAAAGGAAAGATCATGTCATTACTAATTACTAAATATAATGAAAATAAAATCGGGGAAATTCTATTGGAATGCCTAACTTTTAGTATATGTATTAATATAAGGCCTGAATTTTATACTTTTTCAATTGAAGGCTTACATTTTAGGTTATTCTCACTTTAAGGCTTATTTTTTAGTTAACTTTTCATTATAAGACCCAACTAACTTTACCTTTTCATATAAATATGTAAAACAATTATTATGTGAATAAAAGTTTTATTATTATTATTATTATTATTATTATTATTATTATTATTATTATTATTATTTTACATACTCATAATAAAAAATAATAAATATCTTTAGTAAAATTATATTAATAAAAAATAAAACTATATAAATTAAAATGATAAAATATTGGAATTACAATGATGGGAAACTAAGATAGTAAAATTATATTAATAAAAAATGAAACTATATAAACATCTATGATGTAATTTTTCATTGTTAAACTTTTTGCATAAATATAATTTATATAGTTTTGCATCATTGTAATTTATATAGTTTCATTTTTTATTAATATAATTTTTCTAAATATATTTATTATTTTTTTATTATAAGTATGTAAAATATAAATTACAAAATAATAATAATAATGATAATAATAATATTTTTATTCACATAATAGTTGTTTTACATATTTATATATGAAAAAGTAAAGTTAGTTGGGCCTTATAATGAAAAGTTAACTAAAAAGTAAGCCTTAATGTGAGAATAATCTAAAATGTAAGCCTTCTTTTGAAAAAGTATAAAATTCAGGCCTTAAATTAATACATATACTAAAAGTTAGGCCTTCCAATGGAATTTCTCCAAATAAAATCTATACATTATTGAGCACTTTTTTACCAAATGACATGTACCTCTTACAAAAATCTCGAATCTCGAGAACATCACCACCCAATGAGTAGGGTGACATCATTTGATGTGGTTATTCGAACTTAACCTAATTAAAAAATATATTGGATTAGCCGATTAAAATAAAAAAATATTGAGTTATTTATTAAGTTTAATTATATTAAAATTAGTGAAATACATTCTCACTCCTTTGCACGGTACATGTTGCATTGTGAGGACAAAAGGTTCTTCTTGATTTTGGTAATGATGCTCAAAATCAATCAACTGGTAAACATATTGGCCCCAAAGCTTACAGTTCTTCATTTTTTCCCTACACAATGTCGAAAAAAATTTAAATGCATTTTATATGTTAAAAAAACATTCAAAATAATTATTATATATACTAATAGATCAACAATATGAATATATAATGTTAAGGATTCAGACTCTAAGTCCATAATAGAGAAGGCGGTCATTTGGGTAGAAACTCCCTTGACAATCATCATTTGAATAGATTGTATAGAAACAACCAACTCCAATAACATCTACAAAAATATAAGACAATTCATTATATTAAATTTGTCATAATAGATTTTATTATTTAGAATTAAATATATACAAGTTTGAAATAAAAATAAACAAAAATTTAGAACGTACAAAACAATATCGATTCATCCTTCCACTTGTGAAACTTGGTTTGGCCGTTAATAATAATCCTCCAAGTGCAAATTGTCGATTTATAGATGTCAATATTGATTTCCACTTGGTAGTTTTTAAAGATATAAGAGTCACCTTCTTCAATTTCGTCGATGATCAATTGGGGAATATTGATGGGTCGAATTATACAAATAATTCATCCTCTTTAAGAAAGTACATATTCAATAATTAAATAAAAAAAACATAAAAAATGGATCATAAATGATGCATATAAATAATAATATAAGGATAAATTACCTCAAAATCGTGAAATATAATCTTAAGAACGTTTTGATAATTGTGCTCATCTTCAATGCGTTGGAACATTATAATAATGCGTAATTTTATCATTGGTCTATTAGTTCTTTTATCTCTGAATTTTTCAGAAATCAAAGCCATTTTGAATGGGGATGAAAAAACTGATGCAAACGTTTGTTTTGTTGGATGCATTATTTCATGTTGATGCTTGGTTCAATGATCACACTAATGTGGTGTTTATATAGCAATTGTGCATGTGTCATCTACCTATAAATTCGAATTTTAAAAAATATAAAAAAACATTTGAAAATAGAATTTTCAGATATTTGGTAATGTAATCAATGATTGACATTAAATTGTTTTGATTTTATTTTCTACAAATTATATTAAATCAATTGCTATCACATTTTGTTACAAAAGAAAAAAGGATGGTAAATCTGAATTGATTTGAATTCTCATAACCTAAAAAAAAAATGTCAATTTTTATGGGATACCAATTGGTTTAAATTTTCAAAATTTAAAAATTAGTCCATTTTTAGAGATTCATATAAATTTTGTTAGGAAATAGAAAGAGGATCATTTTACGGAAGATAATTATTAGCATATATTTTTTAATGTATGCAAGGTTAGGTCAATGATGAGTTATTCAAGATTAACTCATCATTCGAACCCCTTACCAAATTTTCGGTCAGAGATTGTGTAAATAATTATGAATTTGTTATAAAAAAAAAACTAAAGAATTCGATCATATTGTGAAGGTTGTTACAAAAAAATGATGCTAACAAATTCGAACCCCCTACAAAATTTCGGTCAGAGATTTGTATAAATATTTACGAATTTTGCTACAAAAAAAAAAAA